GTTCCCCAAAATCCCCTGTATGTCCCATATGAGGTCACTCCAGCATCTCCTGTACACCCCATATAGGGTCACTGCGACGACCCAATACAACCAACATAGGGTCACCCTGTCACCCCCCCATACACCTCCATAGGGTCACTGAGGCACCCCCTTCCATCCCATGTGGGCGAGAGCAGGCGTTGCAGTGGCGCCCGCGGGAGCAGGAAGCGCAGCTCCCTCCTGGCTGCAGGCAACCCCAGAGACCGCTCGGGTGCCGCGGTCTTACCAGATCCGTAGCTTTCCAGTGCCGTTGTCATGCATTCCCGTTCGTCCTCATGTGTTTTATACCCACCTGCTCTGAAATGCCCCACACGTGCGCTGTTGAAGCTGCACAGGAAACAGTGCTCTGAAATCGACTCTTTGGAGCCAATTCCTGTATTTTACTGGTCTAATAAAACAACGCTCAGTGTTTCTAATCCCAGACACTGAAGCGCAGTGGGAGGCAAACTTGACAAGCTGCTTTTGCTGTGTTGCAGGATTCAAGATGGACTTTTTGGCTCTCTTCGTGATTTACGTGTGTTTAGTTCTGGCTGGCGTTGCTCTAGTCTGCTTTTGTGCAGGAAGAAAGCAGTGTGTCCCTGCCAGAGGTATGCATTGCATAACCCAGGTAAGCAAGCCAACATTAACCGTTATGCTCGTGCCAGGTAGTAGCAGCATCTCCTTAGTGCGAGGATGAGCGCACACCAGCGCAGGGTGAGCCTCTGTCTTTGACTCTCATGGGCACAAGATGCATCTCTGCAGGGCTAAGCACGGTGCTTGCTAAACCTTACAGAACAGGGAGATCTGGCACATTACCTATATCCCAGAATGCACGGAAAGTAGAAAAGAGCTCATCACTCATTTGCTTGGAGTCAGTTCTGCCCAGGCCTGGCAGGTTTAGAGGCTGTTGGCAGAACAGATGAGGGATGATAAAGATGTGGGTTGGCCCCTTCCTGGGAGATCCCTGTATGACAGTGTGTGAGGAATCATAGCAATTAAGGGCTGGAAGGGACCTCAAAAGATCATTGAGTCCAATCCCCCTGTTCTGGGCAGGAATACTGTGGAAATCAAATAATCCCAGCAAGGCATCATTGTCCAGTCTCCTCAAGAAGACTTCCAAGGTTGGGGATGGCACCACCTCCTTGGGAAGTCTATTTTGGTCACCCTCACCATAAAGAAGCTCTTCCTTACATCCAGCCTGAAACCATCCTTTAACAGTTCATGGCCATTGTTGCTTGTCCTCCCCTGGGACGCCCTAGTGAGCAGTTTTTCATCCAAGAATGCAGAGGATGGAGCAGAAACAGCCTATGTCAGCCTGCCTGTGATAACCTGGGAAGAGCTCTCTCCCTGATCCTACCCAGCTTCTCTGGACTCTGAGTTTTCAAGGAATTTGGGTGGCATCGTAATTTTCATGTGGACACCTCCATGGAGCCCAAGGCATACCCCTCTAAGTAGATGTAAACAGACATCATGAATAGAAATGCAGTTTCCTTCATGTCTTAATCACCAGTTCAAAAGCTGCAGAGAGTGACCAAAACTTATTGCTATCTCATACTAAATGGCCTTTCTGCAGTGAGATCTCTGTCCAGTTAACAGCTCTTTCTGTCAGATTGTGCTATCATATTTAGCAGCTGGTCTCAGCAGAAGCACCAAAATCTGCACAAGCGGCAGACACAGAATTCCCCACTCAGCAAATCCCTTTGTTCACCAGCAGGGGGAAGTTTGCACAGCTGTTATCCTGCGTTGTTTCTGTTCTGCAGATAAACGAAGGGTGTAATTATCTGGGACTGCAAAACCAACACCAAAATTTAGCGCACATGAACATACCGCTCGGTGCATGAAATGACTGCCAAATAGTGCTAACTTGCATGTGACAATTGAAAAATGACATTGGTTCAGTGGTATTGCATGATAATCCAGAGTCCCAAAGCCCTGTGGACTCGTGTTTTACAGCATTTGTAGCTAACGGCAAAAGTTTGTTTTGTATTTTGATGGAGAATAAAAATAACAGAAGCCTGGAAGTTGACTGTAAACCTTTCAGAAAAAAAATATTTGTCAAATGTTACTAAACAACACGTATGTCATAGTGCTGGTTGCCTAGATTATGCTAACAAGCGTAGTGAGGAATTTTAAAAGAGGATTAAAGATTTTCAGGGTTTCTTGAATGACATGAATGAAGAGAATTTAGAACAAGAAGAAACAAATAGTTTAGATTCTTCAAAATATTTCTGTGTAAACAGAAAGTAATAATGCTGTAGTATAGGCAGGGAAAGAAGATTGAAAAGTCAGTCCAGTAACTAGTCACATTTAACATTTAGTTACACGACTGAGCTGATCTTGGCTTTTATTACTGGCAGTATTTTCTTTTCATTTTGCATTATACTGGTCTTGAATCAATACACAGACCAAGTTACTCATCAGCCTTCCTTTCTTACTTAAAATGACTTTTTCTTTTTTTTGCCATGAACACAAAATATATTATAAATACCATTTAAGATGTAAAGAAGTACTTGTTTCTTCAGAGAAATGTAATTTGAAATTCTCACAAGATAATCAATGGCAGGGCAATTTCCAGTATTGATAAAAAGTATCTTTTAAAAGATGATTTCTAGCCCCTGGTTCCAAAGTGCATAAATCCACAGGTTGTAGAAGTCGGATCTGGCTGCATTATTTTAACTACCTTGCATGTATATTCTGAGCAATAAAATGATGTACTTACACATACCACAGCTGTTTCTAGCTCTCTGACAGGTCAGCTTCCATCCTACTGCTCTGGTTTTCATGCTTCCACTGGCTCATTGGAGTGAAATGGTTGCAGTCTATTTACAGGTCTCTCCATATGCTTCTGTAACCATTGGAGGCAAACGCAACAGTCTCAAGAGCCTTTGTGCTTTGGCTAACATGAATGCTGTTTAGTTCAAGGGGGGCGGGAAGCCCTCTGAAAGAGCTCCTTATGCTACACCACATTAATTTTTACATGGAAGGAAATTGGGTGTTTCCTTTTGCCAGCTCTCAAATCAACAATGAATGACAATTAACACACGTCCATGTTGTTAATTGAAAACCGGGTTTTGAAAGACTCCTAGTAAGTTGTTTTTATGCCTAGTTATGTCTAATGCACCTCCTACACCTCTAGTGTAGCCTCTTTTTTTTAATCTCCTGCAAACAGCCATCAGACACACCAGTGAGAAGACTTATGCGTAACATCTCTCCCAAGCGTCGTGTCTCTTGTTGTCTTGTCCCATCTGATAGAAGACATGAGGTGCAGTGTATTTTTGCTTGCTCGTCACGGGTAGCTGTTCTGCTTTGTTGCTGTACTCCTTGCACCACTGATGAAGTGGAGTGTTGCTATAGAGATAAGTTGTCTTGTGCACAGCTTGTGAAGAGACAAGCAGTCCTGCAGCACTGAGTCAGCTAAGTGTGTTCCTGAATGGAAGCAGGCAGCTCTTCCCTCCTCCGCATATGGCAGGTTTTGAAGTAACAGTCAGAAAAACATGAAGCTGTTGAATTGGATAGGCTTAGGATTAGTTTCCATGAATTTTTAGAGATCAAGTAGGATTTTTAAACACACCTACCTGTTTATCTAGGGGCATCAATAGCCGTTGTATAAATCCAGCCCCCCATTCATTAGCTTCCCTGCCTGTAAAATGGGTATGTTTACCTCAGAGGCATTCGGAGGTGTTATTAATGTTTGTCCTACACTTGGGAATGCCCAGAGGGAAGGTGCAACACACACATTCAATATTACACTGTTTGAAGTTTTCACAGGGGAGAACAAGCACTCAAGTGCAACTCAAGTGACATGGTGTTTTCATTTGCTGCAGGTATTTTCATTCATAGTCCCAACACGGCTTCAAAGAGCAATGCAGAGGGTGCTTCAGAGGCTCTTCCACACACGGTACCACACTTTTTTTCCTTTAACACCCTTTTCCTGGCCTGTTTCTGATCATCCTACTGGCACCCGCAAAGCCATGCTAGATTGCGCTTAAATGCACTTCTCTCTTTGTCAGGGGCTACCACGGATTCCCTTTAAAGTTTTCCCTGCTGGTCGTCTTCCTCTGTTGAGAGGAAGTCAACCCTTAAAGAATGAAGTAGATTTTACAGATAACAACATAATGTAGCTCAGTAGTTCTCTCTGTAAGGGATGTTCTCATCCCTTTGGGTACTGGGAGAGCTCCAGTTGTCTGTGTTCAGGTTAGTCAGCCAGGCTGTCGCTAGAGCCAGCAAAAGCAGAGACAGATATGGAATTTATTTCTGGATTTTGCCCAGAAACTGATGTCAAGAGCAGCATGAAAACCATAGCATAAAACGGAGACTTTTTGGCAATGGAGAGTTCAAGCTGTAATAAAGTGTGCACTGCTGATAGCATAAAACTGATACCTTTGGTGCGGTGCCAGCTGACTTGTGACACAGCAGCAGAGCTAATGGACCTGCCCTTCCCTTCAGCCTCCACCATTGGTGCACCCATTTTTTGGGCCGTTGCTGGGCTCAGGGTGCTGTACCTCCTGCAAGTCCAAACGTTAGAGAAACAGCATGCAATTCAAACGTCTGTAGTGGCATCTGCAGCCTTTTTCACAGGCCTGAGCTTGTGTTTGCCCTCAATAACCTCCCAAAATGCCACCTGTCTGTTCCCCTGCTGCTTCTGCCTTTCCCTTCGGACTGCTAAGCTGTGCATTTCTTAAAGTGAAGATGGTGCTGAATTGGCTTATTCAGTGCTTCTAGAACGGTTCTGGGGATCATGCCAAGTCTCTGCCAGCACTGTGTTATTGTCTGAGACCTGGCCTGTCGTAACGGCAAATGTCGGTGCCCACATGGGCCCCCTTAATTATGAGACATTGTACTTGGCTTATTGAGATTGACTAGAACAAGCAAGCAGGTTTGGGAAGGTCATGCAGGGAGGGGTCTCCAGCTGTGAGAGCTCTTTCTGCTGGCTTCAGGAGAGCTCATGATGTAACACCAGGCAAGAGAGCAGTTGGCCGGGCTGCTGGGAAATCCTAGTTAGGCCTGTGAGACCGGGAACCCAGCGGGGAGCTTGGGGAAAGTCCTTGCTGCTGAAGCCTTCTGTCCAAGCGCAGCTTCTCTCACGACTTGGGTCCTGGTTGTGAAATGGGCTGCCCTTCCCCTCTGGTTCCAGAAACAGCCTGTTCGCTGGCCTGCACGTAGCTTTGGAGGCAGCAGTTTACGGTGAATACACTTGGGAAGTGTTTGGCTACTGCCAAGAGCTGGAGTTCAACACGGGCTTCCTTCTGCTGCCATACCTGCTGCTTGCGGTGAACATGGGGGCTTTCGCGCTGTGCACTCTGACCAACCCAGGTAAGCTCCGGCCGTGCGCCCGTGGCAGCTGTGTGAAAACAGAACATAAAAACAAAGTGACTAGTAAATGAAGGCTCAGATGTTACGTGGTGTCCTGCTAGAAATCCAAGGCATGCAGCTTTTACTGGGGAAATGGGTGCGTTGTGTGAGTGACGGTCACCTTGCCTTTGACTTAGTGCCTCCTCCAATGGCTCAGCGCATCCTTTAATTGACCAGAAGCACTCTCAGCCTTGTGTGGTGTACTGTTCCCTGCATCCCAGTGTCTTAGTGCTCCAAATACAAAGGATTGAAATGACAAGTGGCAGTTTGACCTTTCCCCTCAGCACTTCCCCCACAAAAAACTATGGTGTGTTTGTGTGTGTGTGGGGGGTGGGAATGTGGGGATGTTAAGAGCACTTTGCTTGTAATTACCCACTAGCAAGGAGGAGAGCAGGCTGGTTGTATGTTCTGTATTGTGGCCATGTGCTCCGAAGGCTGGAATGCTAAAGCTTCCAGAGCAGGGAGTGGGACCTGGCAACTCTTGTGATTGGGAGCCAGGATTGCATCCTAATTGACTCTGCACCTTCCGTCAAATGATCTCACCTTCCCATTTCTTCCTCCACCCATCACTGCTGTAACTGCTACCTGCTGTGATGGGCTTGGTTGAAAGGAGGGGTCTGAGTGGAGAATGGCTGCCTACAGAGAGTATCCTGGGAGAGTTCTGAAACCAAGAGAGCATTTTTTGAACAGGCGTTGAAGAGGGAAAGCCAAGGGAGGGGATGATTTATAGTGTATTCCTCCCCTTTCCAAAGCGCTGCCATCCTCCTGATTTCATAGCCTTTGTTTTGTTTGCCGTGTGTTTCTTGTGGGTCTGGGTCAAGTTGCAAACATCAATATTTTGTAACTTGATTTCCATCCAGTAAGATGTTGCCATAGGGAATAGTGCCAAACATGGGCTTAGTACCCTTAGCAATTCATTACAGTCATCAACATTCCTGCCACATTCTGGCAACACACAGATGGATTTGAAAGACAGAAGCAGCCCTGTGCTCTACTAAATGTTTTTAAGGGAACGAGTTTGCTCCTCCATGGCACTGTTTCTCTTCTAGGTACAATAACAAAATCAAATCAAGAGTCTTATCTTCGGGTTTATGCACATGACGGTGCGATGTTTCGGAAAGGCGTCATGTGTCGCACATGCCACATGGAAAAGCCGGCCAGGTCAAAGCACTGCAGTAAGAGTTGTCATTGTTATGCTTGTTGAGATATAAAACAAAATCAACCTTCTACCAAATCAATTTCTTACCAATAATGGCCACTCCCATGCCTTTAATATAGTTCCCCAGATGAAGTCTAGCACAAGGTCGTTGGTGTTCTTGTTCATTTGTAGGAAGGCCTCCAGCTCACTAGGCCAACTCCATAGCTTGGCTGCTTATAAACCCCCTGAACAGAGGTTCGCAGGTGTCTGAGACTACAGCTGTGGAGACTAGAACCTTGGTTGGTTCCAGGAAATGTCTTGCAGGCACAGTCTCTTACGTGTGGCTCTAGATTTCCACTTCGTAGAAAAGACACTGGGAAAGCAAGCTAGCTACCTACATGGGGAAGTTAGAGCAGTGACATGAAAAGGCCTTACCTCCCAAGACCTGAGTTCAGGATATGCGTTTCTCTTGCAGAACATGGCGGTCTTGCCATCACCTAAAACAGAACAGGGAGCTGCTCTCTCTTGCCTGTGCCGCTGTAGGCTGTAGAAACCCAAATCTCTGAGTTCCAGCCTTGGTAGGCGAGTAGAACAGGGAACTGAATTTCAAATCTGTTTTAGCCTTGGTTGATCTCTTTAAGGTTAAGTTTTTCTAACTGATGGACAAGTTGAAGCAGTTTCACTTGTTTATCCTTTAAAAACACAGAAGTGACACATGCTCTTGGAAAAGTTTTTTGGCTCTTCTCTGAGTCTTATGACCATACAAGGTTGTTAGAAGGGACTTGGAAGGCTGTTTAGATTGTCACAACCACCACCAGACACTCCTGCACACACACCTAACCCTGTAAGATTAGGCACTTGCCTCTGCTTGTACCAGAACAGCTAATGCTCATCGTAGTCCTGGACAGGCCTTTAAAAGAACTATGCCATGCTGCATAAAAATCTCCGATGTCCTTTAAAAGCCAGATAACTTACATTGCCTTGTATTTCCTTTTTTGATCAGGTGTTTGTAACTTCTGTGTACATCGTTTTGACCACCACTGTGTTTGGGTCAACAACTGTATCGGGGCCTTCAACATGAGATATTTCATCATTTACCTCTTCACTCTGACTGCTATGGCTGCCGACATCGTAATCATAACAGTAGCCTTTCTAATCCAAGTAGTGCTGCTATCAAATATGATGTACGGGAGTTACATTGATGAGCAAGGGCAGGAGCACGAGGTTGAGATTCCCTTTCTTATTCAGGTAAACTCCAAGTATCTAGACTTTAACCTGCTTCTGAGTATGAAGCCTGATCAAAGGTTTGATTTGGTCTCATCTGTTAAGAATCCTCTTGCACATCCATTCTCTTATATAAGGGTGGAGGGCCTATGGGCTTCATAGCGGGGAGCCCAGACATATTGTTAGAGGAATTGTCATCACAGGCACTTTGAAGTATACAACTGATGTAGGTAACAGTTTCTTCAGAAAATCCATTTCTCTGAATTCCAGCTCAACATAAAGCTTTGATACATACAGACATGGTCCTACAGAAATCAGGTTACCATTATCCCGTACAAATGAGTTTTTAAAGGAGCGTGCCAGGTTGTTTACTGTCCTTGACATGTCAAAGTGGACCCCTTCCCATCCAGTGGAAGTTAAATATCTCATAGGGCTGTTAGACACACGGTTCCCCCAGGGGTGTATTTCTGGTTAACTTTGACTACACGCATAGCCCGTGGGCCGGCAGAACTGGGAAGATAAGATAACCAAAATGCAGTGTTGTAATAAGTGGTTCATTTTGGAGTTGCCCTCACAGAGCTGAACTGCATTGTGATTAACAGCACTGATCGGAGTGCTTTGAAATCAGAGGGTACGGCCTGTGCCTTTAAAGCCACTTACTACTTGTCTGTTTTTGCAGCACCTGTTCCTGATCTTTCCCAGGATCATCTTTATGCTTGGCTTTGTGGTAGTCCTCTCTCTGGTACTGGGGGCATACTGCTGTTTCACTCTGTACTTGGCTGTCACCAACCAAACATCCAACGAGTGGTATAAATCGAGAAGATACGAGTGCCCTCACTGCCAGGCGCAGCAGCCCCACGACAAGCACACTGCATACAGGAATGCATACTCTAAAGGAGTTTGGATCAACATAAAGGAAATCATTAAACCTCCCACAGTCTCAGAAAGAAAGAAAAACACCTGAGGAAATTTAACTCTTTTTAAAAATGTCTTTAATTTCTGCCAGGGGTTTCCTAGGCCACAAAGGACTCTTGAAAGGACACTAATGTCCACTAAGTGCTACGATTCAGGGATTTTGTTCTGAAGAACATAACTGTAAAATACAGTTGTTAATGCAGTCATTTTGGAGACAGCAATCAGTTTATATCTGTTCCACTGAACATAATTGATTAAGATGATGGGTCTCAGTAGAAAGCAGCCATTTAAGATGTGATTATAGCTCAATGCATCCTAAAATGTTCTGTCGTCTTCAGTAAGTTTTGAGTGGCAGAGTTAAAGCTAAGGTATGATGCTAGCCTTGGGGAAGCCACATTTCATATGTGCTTAAGAACTAACGAACATGAAGCAGGATCATAACTATCACAGCAGGAAAAAAAATATATCAAACTATGCAAATAAAGCCTTCAAGGACCTGTATTAAGTATTGTAATAAAATTAACATACAAGTCCTTGAAAAGGCCCTTTCAGTGCATTTTAGGGTAAGCAGACACTTCATGAAAGGAACATGTTAAATCTTATAGTTATGTAGGCGTATCAGCTCTGTGCGAGTATGCCCAAAGCACTAGTATGCTGTACAGCTAATCTTAGATTTATGGATTATATCTAGGTCTTGGGTCCCTTGAGAAAACCGTGGCTCACAGGTATTACCAAGAACCGCATTACTTGTTGCCACCTCATCTGTATAGGACTGCTGAATACTTTATTCTATATATTTTTTCTTTTAAAATAAATGGAAAAGCCATCCAAACCCCTCACCAAAGACTTATCATAGCTCTGTTGCAGGCTTCCTGGCCTAACAGGCTGTGGCCCAGCTGCATCAGCAAGTAGATTTGTGCTTGGTTTTGAACTAAAGATACCCAAAGCCTTGTTTTGACCTCTGCTCTTGTGGCAGAGACACCTCGCTGTTCTCACGGTCACTGTTTCACTCACAGTGGAAATCAGAGAGCAACAAAAGCAACTTAAAATATATTTTATTTAAAAAAATGTATTTTTTTTTTTTTATTTACAAGCTGAAACTGTACAAGAGGCAATTAAAAATCTGTACCTGGGTAAAAAACGTCATGTACAGTATGGCTTTCTACATGGACAGGCCAGCTCTTGGAGCAGCCTTGTGACCCAGCAAGGATATAGTGATGTACTGCTCGTACACATGTACGTAAGGCTGTTCTCATGATCAAGCAAGCTACACCTGCATTACCATTACAACGGGAGGCTCGAAGGCAGGAAGTAGAAGCCTTCCAGCTTTGGTAAGTTCACCCCAAAAATGCCTCGGAGTTTATTAACTGACTACAGTTAGCTTAGGTAGCGAGGAGTCTCTCTTGCAAGAAACAACACGCATGCTTTACCTTCTATGCTGAAAGGTAAATCTCAGAACTCTACTGTCCTGTGGTCCAAGGTTACTGCTTTGTAAAGGACGTTCATTTATTTGAGGCAGCTGTACAAAACACGGAGTCTGTGGCAGTCAAGACTGACCAGTCACTTCCACAGTAAAACCATGCAGGAGTCTGACATTTCCATGTCAACTGAAAAGTGTAATAGCAGGGCTGTATTTGATTCAAGCCACTTCCATCTGGTTATAAAGGGTTTGGTTTGGTTTGGTTTATATATAACTGTATGCAAGATGGCTTTTCCTCCCACTCCTCAGACACCGGGATGGGCCAGCTTATGCAGCTCTACCCTAATTCCCCACCCTGGAGAGAAATGCTGCTGGAGATGTGCTGGGGGTCTGCCACTCACCCTGTGCCAGGGGCTACACAATCACTGTCTGAACCTCCACCTCCCCCTCCTGGGAAGCTATAACAAACTCTCCTGCGTGCTCCATTATTTCAATGTCCTCTGATGCAACCATCGTTACTGTTGCTTCCTCCGTCTCAATGCTACCCTCTGTCGTCAGCACCGCTCCTTCACCTATAGCAGAAGCCAATGTCATAGCAACCTGCTCCGTGAGACTCTCTGGAGTTGCTATGGTGATTGTGTCTGCAGCATCAGTGGTTACCTCCGAGTTCTCTGCCACCGTAACGTTCTGCACGATGATCTGGTGGCCAGAGTTTGCTTGGTTCACTATCTGCTGTACAACCTTCATGATGTGACTGTCCATCTGTGCAAAAGGAGAGAAACAGCCTTATTTTTTTTCTAAAAAGCATTTCAAATGTTGACAGTTCTGCTTGCTTGGCATCCCCTGCCAGTTATGTCACAGCTACACATGCAACTCCCAACCAGTAGTTTTACAGCTGATACAGACAACACTGAATAGGTTCAGATTAGTTCCACCATCTCCTGAAGTTACGACCCCTTGGCAAGAGGATGAGATGCATTTCATTGAGGGGTGAACTGAGGAGTGAATCTTTGTATGTCATTGAGGGATGAATCTTTGCCTACATTTGGGGACAAAATTACTTTGTCCAAAGAATACTTTCAGTTATTCTTAAATGATTGCTTGAGGTTGGAGGTCACAGACTAGTTACTCAAATGACAGCGATAGCGGCACTGCAAAAACCTAAAAGGCTGGACAAATCACAATGGGAATTGCACGCTGTTCAGCAGAAGACTGGTCCATCACCACAGTGGGACGAGGCAGGGATGTGTAGTGCTGACATTCCCTGTTCCATTCCATCTTTACTTTTAGTATCCTCTGTGACTTGTTAAGAGGATCAGGTTCACAAAGGCCATAAGGTGTTAACACGCTGTTTTACTTAGCCAGGAGGTACACTATTTTTGGCTGGGCCACAGAGCCAGTTCTGCAAAACTGCATCTTTCCAGCAAAACAAGCCAGCCGGGCTTTGGTTTACTCGATGTGGCTTTTTGGATGCCTAGAGTTCATTTAAACAAGGGGAGTGCATAACAGGCAGAATAGCAAAGCAGCATGGTGACAGGGCCTGCCTACCTCATGTCTTGTTCCCTCTATTATTTCAGTAGCTTCGCTGGTCTCCATGTCTTCTGTGGCAGTCTTGAGAGAGACAACAAGATGGTGTTTAAAATGCTACAACAGAATCCTGTTTGGGGAGAAGCTAGGGACTAGGACTGTAAGTATCTCCTGCAAAGCCTTCCTTGTTCTCCTAGGTCAAATAATCTTCTGAAGTGGGCAGCTCTTTGCAGTTCCCCCAGGCCGTGAACTAGAGTTGCTGAGAGGGGATAAGGACTGGCTGGAATCTTCACCCGGTTCTCTCCTCCCCCAGTTCCCCCAAGGCCATGCAAAATGAGGGTAAAGGGGAGGAACCACACAGGTCCTTCTGCCTCACAGGTGGGGATGCAGCTCCTGCATGTTCTGCAGCCCTGGGGGAGAAGGTGGCTTTGGCTGGACCCCATTTCCCATGCTCCTCCCAATACAGCAGCCAGGGGAGGAACATGCACAGCTGTGTGGGCATTAGTGGCCAAGCACTGCACTGGATTCAGTGCAAAACAAGCCCTCCTTCCCACTGTCCTTCCTCATTCAATGGTTTTGGCTACGTTACCTCAATGATGTATTCCTGAGTGTCTGCCACCACAGAGGAAAACTCCACCAGAACAGTGTGAGGATCTTCAGAAATAACGGTGGCAGCTAAGTTGTCAGCTGACTGGCTTTCCTCTGAAACCATCACTTCTTCAGCCTCCTTCAATGCAAGAAGGCAGCCACCTGCATGATAATCCAGGAGATGCAAAGGTTTTCATCATCGGAATTGCACCCGTTCCACTTGGTATCACATGAAACTAGTGACACCTTCTATTGGACATTACTGGGAGGAGTTAGTTATCTTCAGTCCAAATGTCCGTCTCCAAGTCATGCTCCATAGGAGACTACAATCTGGCCTTGACTTTACTGGAATTACTAGGAATACACAAGACAGTCTGAGCACTGAAATCACAGGAGACTTAAAACGTTCCTCATAAACATACAAGACTAGACCTGAGATTCCCCAACAATCCACTGTATCTACACAGTTCAGCTACTTATGTAATGTATTTTCAGAAGCAGATGTGCAACTATCCTGTAGAACCAGTACCGTCCAGCACGTACACGTGACATTACGGCTTATTAAGCAAGCATAGCTTTAAACAAAGAATCCACTGCAGATAATCCAGTCATTTGGCTCACTATTTGCTAGCATCTTGAACATAACATTATTAACATCTGCTCAGCAGACCATGCCAGCTGCACACCTCGTTATGGTGTTTTGTAGAAAAAGGCAAGAGGAGAGTGGTTTCTTGATGAGTGAAGTTACTCAAAGACAAGTTCCATTACAGTAATTAAATGCCAAATTTAGGAAGCTCCTGGAGCCAAGAGCTTCTTTTGTATTTTAATCCCTCTGCTGCTATCAGAGAAAGAGGTGAGCTGGGATTAGCTTCTTGGAAGCCATCATGGATCAACCCCTGCCCCCCTCAGCATGGGAGCTGTTTGTCGTAGTTAGTAGGGACAGAAGGGACCTGAGCAGATCATCAAGTCTGACCCCCTGCCATGGCAGGAAAGAGTACTGGGGTCAAACGACCCCAGCAAGGTGATTGTCTAGACTTGTCTGAAAGACCCCCAAGGTAGGAGCCAGCACCACTAAGCTTGGAAGTTGGTTCCAGATCCTAGCTGCCCTGACCGTGAAGTAGCGCCTCCTGATGTCTAGTCTGAATCTCCCCTCTGCCAGCTTGTGACTGTTATTTCTAGTCACTCCTGGGAGTGCTCAGGGGAACGGACTCCCCCAATGCCTGCTGGTCCCCTCTGACTAGTTTGTAAACGGCC